TTAAACATCAGTGTAGACCTGGAAAGAAGGTATTAATAGCCTCATTTTACAAATGAGAAAAAGTGAGCTTAGAGAAATTGATTGCCTAAGCTTGCACCACTAGTAAGTAACTGAGCCAGGATCCTAATCCAAATCTGTCTCACTTCCAAGCTTGCTCTTACCAATGTGGTATTCCACCACCAGGGATAAGAAAAAGGTAGTAGTGGATGGAACTTTCACCTGATATTAAATATAGTACTTTGTTTCTTCAGTAAAAAAAATTGCCCATGGTAGGTTTTTTATTTTGTTTTTTAAATATTAGAAAATCTTTTTTCCCGCCACCCCCCCTAGAAAATCTTAATCATATTTGCATAGTCTCTTCTGACTAGCCCTCTGAGCCAGTATGCATGTTTAGAGCTACAAATTAGTATAGATGTTAGGTTTGGAGATTGTCATAGATAATAATGTTCAGAATGATTTTTTTCTTTTTCTCTAGTTTTTGTTTTATTGCAAATATAATGCAGGTAGTTGTATTAGTTGCATTTTGTTTTGTGGAAAACTACTCCAAAGCTTAGTGGCAAAAACATTAATCACATATTTGTCCTTGATTCTGTGGTTCATCTGGGTAGTGGTTCTGGTCTGGGCTCACTTAGTTATCTTTTTCTTTTTTTTTTTTTTTTTTATTGCTTATACATATTCATGGGGCGTAGAGCTGACCGTCAACACCTGTGCCCAAGATGTGACTGTAAGATCAATACTATCAGCATGCCCACCACCACAGAATGAAGTATTAACAGGAAATTGTTCACATATTACTTTCCGTCACCCATATCACAAATATGTATTAATTTCTTGAACATACTTGAAAGTATCAATTACTGGCCCTTTTCAAATAAACTAACATCACTAAAAGTTCTCTACTTAAAATCATGTAATTGCACAGTCTTTAGTACCTTTCAAGAAATTTAGACCTCTTCACCATTCAGGCTCCTTGGAAATTTTACTGGTAAATATTAAAGAAACTGATTTTGCCTTTATGAAAAATAAATGCAGTGTGCTAAAGTGAGTTGGACTGAATAAACAAAAAGTCTAGTTCATGAAATAACTGAAAAACAAGCAATTTTATACATAAGGGTTTTGACAGAAGTGGAGTCTGATCTGATCCTAAAACGAGGGAAAAAGCTGAAATAATTGGGAGGACATTGTTGATGGTGAGAGGAGTGATTGTGGCAAAAGTTTGCACTTTGGGGACAGTGTTTGGAGTAGAGCATTTATATAGAGGAAGAGTTGGATGTAAGAGTATACTGGGATCAGATTGTAGTAAGTTGTAAATGCTATTTAAAGAAGTTTAACCTTTTATTCTGTAGGCCAGTATATCTAATGTGGGTGAAATACATATTAAGTGGTACATAGATAAGTGCTTTTAATTTTAATCATTATGTATTTATTTTAATGGGAATTTAAACTTACAGCTGGCACATCAAATCTGGAACTTAATGGATGTTGCTCAGGAAGTAGCTAAGTATATTTGAGTTTAAAAAAAAAAAAAAAAGATTTGCCAGCAGTTATTGATGGCTTTTTCTTTATCAGGCACTGTTAAGATATTTTATATGTAGTAATCCATTTACCCCTCACATGAACTCAGTGAGCTATTAGATACTATTATTATGTTCACCTGATATGTGAGGCTGCTAAAGCACAGAGAGGTTTTCACAGCTAATGAGTGGTGGATTTAAATCCAGACAAGCTGACTCCAGAACCTGTGTTCTCAACTATTGTACCAGTTGACACAGTGTTAATATGCAGATGAAACAAAAATTGTGAGGGAGGTAGGCAAATGGCTTAAATTAGGAGGAAAAAAGAGCTGTTGAAGGTTTGGGGAGTAATACTATAAATGTACTTTTTGATATAAATTGAAGTGATGGTGATATTCAGTATGCATTTTTTAAGTGAGTTGAAGGAATGGGATCAAATTTAGGAACACCAATTAATAATTGACTGTGTAGGCCTAGGTTTGAAGAAAAACATTTGAACCAAGATTTTTTAGGAGAAAGGGAGGAGCTAGGAAATAAGAGCCACTCTTCGGAAAGAATGGAAAGCAAGAAGAAAGGACTTGAACTTGGGGGGAGTTTGTGAAGAGTCTAAGATTAGTGGTTTCCAGAATGAGAGCATGGTAGTACTACTGGCAGATATAAAATCGAGAAAGAGACTCATCTGGCAGATGAATTTTGTAATAAAAATATAACTTTTGAAAAAGAAGGTGAAAAATCTAAAAATGTTCAGTGGGCATTTAGTGATTATAAAAGCTTACTATGCTGGTCAGGGTTGGGGATATATATTTAAAAGTTATCTCCTTACGGGGTGAGGGTTATGTATAATGAGTAATAATGATACAGGCCTGGGGTCTGCAGACATCTAAAGGGCCAGATAGTAAATATTTTAGGCTTTGCTAACTGAGAGACAAAATCAAAGATGGACATGGGGAAACCATTTTTTAGCTCACAGACCACAAAACAAACAAAAAAAAAGGCAGCTGGGTCAGGCTTGGCCCAAAGGCTGTAGCTTGCCAAGCCTTGACATAGGCTCTCAAAATGTATTGACTGTTGGTCATAGACATTCTTTTTATATCAACATTTAGAGATATTTCATCAGTTACTTCATTAATTTGAAAAAGTGCAGTTCGTGTTATTTTTCTAGACAGGATCATACTCTGAGTGAAATGTTTTAAAAATGTGGTCTTTTATGTATTAAAAATTGCCACAAATTTAGAGAAGTCTTACCCTAATTGTTAAAGACATATCAAAATAGAAGTTGATATTTTAGCTTTCAATTTGAGAACCTTCAAGCCAAGGAAACTTAGCTCAATAAGCTCCTTTAAAACTGTCTCCCGTGTATTACTTACAAAAGTATACACTATATAAGTTTTGACACCTATATATGTCCAGAAATGTTTTACTTGATCTTAGATTATTCTTTGGATCGCAGAAAATTTTACAAAATACAAGCAGCTTTGGTTCATACCCAACTTTTAGACACCTTTTAGTTGCTGTGCCTCGGCTTTCCTTCTGGATATTGCTTTCCTTCTGGATATTTGTGCCCATTGTTTACCAAAAATTGGAAGTTGATTTTATTTTTTTGCTTCTATTAAATCTGTCAGAACTCAGATTAGTGCTGTGCTGCTGTTTAATAGCATCTTCATTTCTTGAGTTCATCTGTCTATGATATGAGGGACTCATTAACTAGATATTAATAATATAATCATTGGGAAAATGTAATTTCCTACCAATTATCACTTCTTTTGAAAAATGTAAACTAAAGTTTCTTAATTTTTCTTTCCCCAAAATCAAGTGAACAAAGGGAAATCTTTAAGGAGATTCTTGACCAGAATGGTTGATATGGTTGGGAAGGGCATTTAAACTTACTTTCAACATTGACAAGTTATGTTTTAGCCTTTGGTAGTATAAGATGACTAGTTCTTTAAAAAGTAAGAGTAGTTAAATAACCAAAAGTAATTTTTTGAAGTTCTTAGTTAATCCCACCTTTTAAAAGTTTCCTTATCCAAATATTTTCTTGAACTGATATCTATTTTGTGTTCACAGTCCTAAGGACTTCAGCAAAGATTTGTCAATGCTGCATTTTATGAATATTCCTCTTATACAAGTTTTT